CTGGAGAATTTCATGTGACCCGTCTGCAAGAGAGAGAGAGCTATTTTGGGCCTGCCAAGCTTCCAGGGACCCACTGCCCCTGGTGCCAGTGTGAAGGGCACCGGGCACAGCATCATGTCACCCCAGGAGAGGCTTACCACGAACTCCCCAGCATGGCCCCGTCCTGGGCATAAGCTTTCTGCAAGGTAGGATCTACGAAATCTCTCCCCCCACGTCTTTTCCTTGGCACCCATATTTTACAGCAGTCCGGCCTGGGGAGGGGTGCCCAGCACAGTCACTTTGCTGAGGTCTCGGGAGGGTACAAGCAAACTCCTTCAAACGCTGAAGGAGCAGCGGCGTTCAAACACTTCTGGCAACTCCTGCCTGGTTGGGTCACCCGAGAGAAGGACCAGCCGGGAAAGTCACCCGTGGCCATGACTATTATTCGCCAGCAAAGCCCCTGTCTTGGTGATGGGGGGAACGTTGGGTTTGTGGTGGAAATAATTTATTAATAAAGTTGGGAACACCGAGGAACATTGCACACAGGAAGATCCCCACCAGAAAAGGAAAATCTCCCCCACTCCAGATTTAGTTTCCCTTTAACGAGGCTCCAGCAAGGACTTTATTTTTCTGCCTAGGGGTGAACGATAATACAAATTAACTTGGGGGTTATCCCTGGAGCGGGGTCCATTTCCTTCCTGGTGATCCAGGGTTGAATCTGCTTCAAACATTGGTCCTCATCCCTACCTCTTGCAGAATCCATCCGCCCTCTGTTTTTTGCCTTCGGTACAGAAGATGTGAGAAAAATAGAAGTTAAAGACTTCCCTGACTCAAGTTGAACCTTCGGGGACTCCATGGACAGGTCCCTGTAGTTCTCTGGGCAGGAATATGGCTTGCCCTTCTTCCAAGATGGTTTTTTTTCCAACTTCCCAGTCTAGCTGTAAGATTTCCTGGTGGTCTCCCATCCCAGTGCGAACTTGGTTTTCTTTTTGAGATCAGCCAAGAATAGCTAGGTGCTGCCCTCTACCGGTGATTTCTATATTGCTTTCTTATTCCAGAGTTATGTTTTAAAATGGACAGTCATATAGGTTGTCTAAATAAATAAGTTCAAAAGAATTAAGGTCTGTGGCAACGATTTTAGCTTGCCAGGCCAAAAGGACGGTTTTCTGTTCTCACAAAGTCTCTCTTCCCCCAACCCCATCCTTTCCCTCTTCCCCTCCAACTCCCCCCACTGTTTCTCTTTCCAGATGGAAAATTTTCAGTATAGCATCCAGCTGAACGACTGGGATTGGGCTGAATTTTACTTGGCCTCAGAGGAATGCCGCTTGATCCCCCCAGCCTTGGCCACTGCTGAAGACCAGCTCCTGAGTGATTCTGAGGACGGGGAGGCTGAAGAAAAGAGGGGGATCCAAGAGACGGCGGGCCCTGCCCCAGCCCACCGAAAAGCCAGCTGCCCCTCCCGTGAATCCCCAAGTGGGCACCTGCTGGCGGAAGACGTTTTGTCGGGCAGCGAAGATGAAACCGACTTAGGCTCCGTCGGCAGGTTTCTGTGCGGAAGCCCCCCAGTTCTCCTGCCTTCTCGGTCCCTCCCAAGTCAGTTGTCCGGCCTCACCTCGAACCCTCTGAGAAGTTGGCCTCAGCTGCCAGGACCTGCCACAAGCTCTGCCCTGGTCTCTGCTGCTGAAGAAGAAGGCGCAGCAAGAGCGGGTTGGCCCATGGATCCAAAAACGAAGGTGGAAGCCCCTGCCACCCAAGGGAGGGGTTTACAAGAGCCACGTCCAAGGCCAGAGATGGGAGAAAGCTCCTTGGTGCCACCCCTTAGCTTGAGTGCTGCAGAGGCAACGGAGAGCCCGGAGGGAGCAAATGGCTTGGAATTACAGCGCGCCCAAGACAATACTTCCCCGACGGCTTCTGCAGGCTGCCCATTTCCAGGATCAACGGGCAACACTGGAAAACTAGAATTTCCCAAGCCAAGAGATGCAGCTTCACCTCCCGGCTCCATCAAGGTTCCTTCTCTCCTTTCTTCAGAAGCAGAGAAGGAAGTCAAGGGCCTTCCGACTGACTTGGGGACGCCGTTCCAGGAAAAGCATTCCCCTTCTCAAGAACATTCGGTCCAGCTGGCCAACATTAGGGAAAGGACTTCAGGGAAGAAAGAAGAGGATGCCAGGCCCCTCAAAAGTGAGAGGGGAGCAGACCACAGCAGGAGCTTAAGCCCTAATACTTCGCAAGAAGGAGACCAAGTCAAAGACGACGGGGTACACGGAAGCCCAGGAGCTCTGGAAGAAAACGGATGTCCAAAACCATCTCTGGGAGCTGAAGCCAGAAGACGCGCCTCTTCACCAGGAAAGGTGGAAACACAGAATAATGGAGAACCCTGCCTCCATCTTGGTCTGGTCACCCCCCCTGAAGGAGAGCATCCAGCTAGGATTCAAGGAAGCCAGAGACTGGTTTCCTACCCTCTGAAATCAAACGACTCTCCAGAACACTCTTTAACAACCATGACATGGCCAGAAGTGTACGACTATTTCTTCTACAATGATCCCCAAGAAGTGGAAAGACCAGCGCGGGAGGAAAGATCGAGGCAGACCAGCAACAGCCATCAGTCGGAGCTTCCAGCAATGTCAGGGCCTGAAATGTACGAATATTTCTTCCTCGACGCAGACGAGGAGACCGGGGGCAAAGCCAGCCCTTCGGAGACGTCCCTCAGTTCTGACCGTTGCGTGGCTCCATCCGATGCGTGGGAAGAGCCAGCCTCCGACGTGACCGCCGACCCCATGGGATTCCCAGAGGTGTATGAACACTTCTTTGCACACCACCCACGAGGCAAGCGAAGCCAGAGGCAGAATTTCTTGGCCGTGCCAGCTTCAGAGTTGAGAAAGGCCTTGAGAGCCTTAACGTCCCTTGTACGTAGACCGGTCCGCTTCCTCAGATCCCAGCCAAAGCAGAGAGGATCCCAAGCAAGAGTGATGGTCCTGTCTCCCACGCTTCTCCCACTTCCCGGGGAAAGGAGGTACCCAAGACCAGAAAACCTTGGGGTGGCTGTCTTACAACCAGGTATTACTTCTCCTCCCATCTCTAAATGAGCTTCTGGCTCAACATGCTGATAACATTCCAAATTTCATGGCTAAATCAGGCTTTGGGACTGTGGAATATCGTTCCTGGGGGGCTTTCACTCCTGGCCAACTAAAATCCACTTTCCCCTGTGAGATCTTTTGTATCCCCCTCAGCGGTAGGCATAAAAAAATCACATTGGACATTATTTGCTGAATCCATCTTCCCTGCCTTTGTGGACTAATCAATTTGTCGGGGTTAACCGACGGCCTAGACCAAATCAGCATTGCAAATCCAAGAAAAGAACCCAGGCTTAAGTCTGACCACATTAATGGCACCTCAGGTCAGAGTCCTGGTGCTGTGTGTGTCGAGAGATGTTTCACAGCTGTCCTCTTTAAAACATTTATTTTGTGTGGATAAAGAAAAGGCAGGAGTGTCCCTTGCAAGGAAAACATGATGATGATTAAAATCCGTGGATGAGGCAGGGCAGGTGTTGAAAAGATGCCGTTTTGCAGAAATCTAAGGAGGCTTTCTCCTTGCTAACCCATTAAGGAGGATCACATTTGCTGTGGGCTGAATTGATACAGCCTAGCAGCCTCGATTTTTAAATGCAATAAACGTGTTAGCCTTTCAGGTGCTCCGGCAATCTTTGTTTTTCGTTTTACGACATGCCTCGAAGGCTAAGAAGCCTTGGCAGGCTCAGCCAAGAGGTGTTGACTCCGATAGCCCCCCCCCCCTTTGAGTTATTTCCAACGCTAAACTGGGCTTGTGACTTGGACAGCAAAGAGATCCAGGTTCCGGAAGGAAAAATTGTATTTCAGGGACACTTACGGGGCACGAGCAAACATAGCTGCGGAGACGTCCCTCTTCTTGGAACTGCAGCAAAGATTGGCCTTTGAGTGTTTAAAAACTATGATTGTGGCCCTGTCGCAGCCTCGACATCAGCCGAGGGGAGATTAAGATGTAGGTCTTTGAGAAAACAAAATTATTTCCTTGGCTGGTCGCAGCGAGCCGAACACGGGCCGTGTTCCCTTCTTTTGGCAGCCACGCGGTATTTTATCATTAGGTTAAAAAAAGAATGGGCAGCTGGAAAAAAACGCTCAGTTCTCTCCATTTCTCCAGCAGGCGCAAGCCCCGGAACCCTGATCCACAATTATGTTGTGCAAATTAAATGTTGAATGTTGGGTTCTTGGTGTCCTCTGCCTTTGATTGTTTCCCTGGAGATGTTCGGTTGGAAAATTCCCAGGCTGTGGGCTAGACTGGGAAATAAAGGAGGGGAAAACCTCTTTCCTTATTGGTCTCAAGAAAAACCTGGATATGTCCAGATCTGGAGAGTTGGAAAGCAAAGCATCGGTCCAAATTTATTTAGAAGTTTAAATGAAGTTTTAAACGGAACAGTGGCATTGAATCTCACAGCCTGTAGTCTTCCCACACAGGCTGGATGGCCATTTATCCAAAGTGCTCTGGGTTTTGCAAACTCTGTTCTGCGAGGGTGGACGGGGTCCCATGGGAGATTTTGGGCAAGAAAGGGGGAAAAATTCACCCAAACTTAGGCAAAACTCCATCCCCAGATCTTTGTCTCTTGATCAGGGAAGTTTTTTTTAAACGAACAGGTTTCTGGGGGAAAAAAAAAAATGAAATCCCTTGCTCTAGTGCAGTGTTTCTCAACCTTGGGCGATTTCCAGACGTGTGGTCTTCCACTCCCAGAATTCCCAAGCCAGCATAGCCGCTGCTGAGAATTCTGGGAGTTAGAGTCCCCCTGGGTTGAGAAACCCTGCTCCAGTGCAGAGTTCTTCACCTATCTTCTCTCAGATCGCCTCCCCACTTTTAAAAATCACGAGGACCCCAAAAGCGCTTTTATTATGGCTCGTATTTATCCATATCTACTGCTGCAGATTAAAAATTTAAATGGATTACTACTGCGTCTCATGATTGATGGGGTTTTAATATTGTGTTGTTTTTCAATATAGACTGGCAAATAATTTTGATTTTGCAGAGCCCTGAGAGGCTCTTGGGGAACCACACTTAAGAAACACTGCTGTGTGGACCCTGCACTAAGGGGGTCAGACTAGATGTCCCTTGGATGCCTTCCAGCTATGATCAATACCGATTCCTCGCTGCCACCTCCTTAACCATGCTGGTTTTTTTGTCTTCAGAGAGGCCCCTCCAGCTGGTCCTCACGCCCAGGGATATGTGTCTGGGGTTCCTGGCGTTCGCTTCCTGGGCTGTGAAGACCTCCGACCTACGAGCTCCAGATGCTTGGAAGATTGGTAATGCGTCCCAGGGCTCCGGTGTGGGGAGAAATGAGCCTCTGATGGATTTGGGAAGGGGGTGGATCGAGGCTGAAAAGATAACCCAGGAATGCTGACCGACAGGACAAACACCAGGAAGAGCTTTTCCATTTTTCTCAAGCCATTTTCGTTCTCTCGCTTCACCCCGTTCCTTTCCTTTATCCTGTTTTTCTTTCTCAGAGCAACCTCCCATGGGTTACAAAGCAACAGCAGAAAGAGAGACCTGTTTCGCCCTTACGCCTTAAAACAAAGTTTATTTTTAAAGAATGTAGGAATAGGAATCCCCTAGGCCTTTCCTCCTCTCCGAATGAGCATGTTTTTGAGAAAGAAGCAAACTCAGAGAGGTAATTCATGCGAAGACAATACAGGATGCTGTTGTGCGTAGGAAGCGACTGCTCCACCCAGTCACCCATCTGATATTTTGGCTCCTGCAGATTCCCACGCGCTCTCTCTCTCTCTTTAAAATTAATTGTTATTAAAGAAGTCTTTTGCCAAGTAAAAACAGTACAAACGTAAAGAAAAAAGCAAGTGAAGTAAAAAAAGAGTGATAAGTAAATAGTAAAGTCCTTCTGTTTCGTTTTCTTTTTTTAAACTGCTAGTCCTCATGACTGGGATGCGGTGAAGCTTGGGGAAGGTTTAAAAGGCTGGAAAGAAGAGGCTTGGTTTCCTTGTCCCCGCCCTTAGCTAAAACCACAGTAAAAGGCAGTCGAAAACCGTGTAAATGGAAAAAGCTTTTTTGGGCCGAAGAAAATGGAATTTTAGAAAGGAAAAAGAGGTTGTGCAAAAAATACTTCATCTTGGCTCACTGTTCTTGCCAAGGAAAAAGATGAAATGTCTTGATCACGTTCATTCATCTGGAGCCATGTCTTTCTTTTCCAGTGTTGCTGGCAAACGTCGGTACCCTCTCAGCCATCCGTTACTTCAGGCGGCACGTGGTCACGGAAAGTCATCCTGGCACTTAAGGAAATATGGGTCGATCCTCTGCAATTCCTGATGGAGATGCTTTTGAAAGCGTGATGCCGGTTTCTGCAAAGCAAGCAAGCTTGGATTCCTGGACTCCAAATTTACTGGGAGGGCAAGAGGTGAGAAAGATGAAGGCTTCCCTAAAAATCAGATTTTGTTACCATTTTGTCACCAGTTGGGGGCTACCCAGTCGAAGCCCAAATCCCACTTTCTTCCCTTTGTCTCCCAGTTGGGAACTTATCTTAAGCTTACAAGAGAAGGAAAGCTATAAAATAAATGACTCGACAGACCCAGGAGCCAAAGGACCACCGAAGGAGGTCATCAAATGGATTCAGAGGGGACTTTCACAGATGAGTAAGGGAGAGGAACAAAAAGCTTTTTTAAAAAAAAATACAGTTAGGTTTAGGAAAAGGAATACCTGCAGGGCAAGATCGTCCGAAGGGTGTTTAGGCATTTCCTACACGATGGGAGAGAAGAAGTTCACCCAGTAGGGTAGAGTCGTAATGAGAAACCTTTTCAACTAATAGGATCTTGCCCTCCCCACACTAGGGCAGGGAGCTGGAGTTTGGTGGGACGGGTAACCTGGTTTGTTGCAGAAGATAACAGGCTGATTTTTGGAAGAGGGCAGTAACGTGGTGGATGGAGAGAGGTTCTGGAGACTGCTTACATGTCGAAGCCCACCCATCTCTGTTGGTGAGCATTAGGAAATGACTTGGCAAGATGCTACGAATATTACAAAGTTATCCGAGGATCAGTTCTACGGAATTTAGAAAGTTTGTAAATTCCCATCCAACAGATACTAAGTTGACCGCAAACGTACACAGACAGTTGACTGGTTTCTATTGTTATACTGTTTCTCAGCTCTGTCTTTTGGGTGCTTTATAAATAGTTGCAGTAAACAAACTTTTTTTTTTTAAAAAAAAATAACATTTATACACACTGCCCTTCTGAATGCTCAAAGCACATCATATACCGTACATTATTTTGCTGTGATGTTTATAACTATCTTATACGTAGATCGGTTTAGTTTCCCCAAAAATGGCAAACTGAGGCCAGAAGAACCTGAATCAAAATGGAGATTCACGTGAAAGATTTTCCCCCCCTATTTCTCAGTCTTGGGGCCGCTATCCGTAAACAGCCCTCTGTCTTCAACTGTTAGTTGGGATGACTTTTCCACTCCTGTTCTCTGTGTATATGATTCTCCAAAATTCAGTATGAGAGTAGAAAAGATACTTGTATACTGAAGAAAAATACCAAACTATTAAAATCTTCATGACCTGCCCACTGTTAGCATTGTTTAAAGCGTTTCTTTCAGCCATCTCGTACATCAAAACGTGAATAATACAAAATGTAATCTTGGACTATGTGTGCAGGGAAGTCTTTCTTTGGCTCTGTATCTGCCAAACTCACCTCACAGGCTGATTGGGATGATAAATGAAACCCAAGTTCTGGTTTGAAATCTTGGGGGGAAAGGTGAGGTATAACTGCAATAAGTAGGAAAAAAATGCTTTCAGGGACTCCAGGGCACGGATAATAAGCTGTCTTTACGATGCAGGAAGCCTAGCTAAGAGACCGCATCGAGCTCAAAAAAAACAACCAGATCCAGAACTCCCAACTGGATGGGAGACCACTTGGAAACCCCACCTTTGAAAACAGGGGCAAACATTTGCACCGAGGCAGGGCCAAACAGCTTGCGTAAGGCTGCCGAGAAAATGACACGGAAGTGTCCACGAAGTCACCAGGAATCTAGTTCACCTTGAGGAACGTAGTGTCTACTGGCAGGACGTGGAGTATGTCTTCCTTCCTTGGAATAAGGATTGGAATTATGCTAACCCCACTTTGCCCCCCGGCCTTTACTGGGCTAAATGAGGAAGAGGGAGATGGAGTTAGCTTAATGGAGATCGTAGCGGGCTGGTCTTCGGTCTGCAGAGTTGCTGCTCTGTTCTCAACGGAGAAGGGAAGGCCGGTGAAATAAAGCTCTATTTGGGGTGGGCTGGCCGCTTTTCTCCCCTTGATGGGACCCAGGAAAATAGAGGGGCAATGAGAGAGGGGAGTTTCAGAAGCCACAACTAAGCTATCCGAGATAAACCCCCTGGAGTTTCTACCGGTCTTCTTGGCGCAGCCCAAATCCATGTCCGACCTTCCTGGAAACAGTTGGTTCGTTGCCTTGACCTTCCACGAGGGGTAGACTCGAGGCAGAATTGATGGGCATTCGGCTGTCCTGGGTGCCAACCTAGGTCCGTAGTCAGCAGGAGGTTTTGCATAAAGGCTCCCAGCCCTCTCCAGTCTGGGGTTGGTCTGTGGATTTAACTCTATTTTCCTCCCTGCCTCTCTGAAAGGGCTATTCGCACTTCCTCGAGCGAGCAAAGGGATCTTTCGCACCGCCTAAGACCTCGCGCTCTGTTCTAGCCCGTTCACCCAGCTCCATTCCTGGGGTCTGGGCAGGACCATCTAATTTTTGCCGCCTCTGGTGTAGCCTGCAGTGGGGCAGAATCACAAGCAAATTATTTTTCTATATCCTCTTCCATACGTCTGACTTCTGAGCTTGGGGACGTGGGGCGGGGGCAGAAAGATCCTGCTGGTAGTATTTTCACCAGATAATGCCATCTCTCCTCCTCTCGTCATTTGCATCATAGCAACCCAAATAAAGATATAGAACCCCTGGAGCATTTTCAGTAAGCCAGAAAGACTAGGTTTGCTAGAGGAGACCAAAGGTCTCTCTCGTCCTGTTTCCTGTTTCCAGCCAGTGGCCAGCGTGGAAAAATCCACAAGCCTCCAAGAGGAGTTGACTGGACATAACTTCCAGCTCACACTTGGCATTAATCCAGAGCTGTGAACTTGTAACCTCCCTGCTCCCCAAATGTTTGGGGGGACAGGCTCTTTCCTTTTCACTAGATGCACGATCATCACTGTCCACACCTCATTTTTTAGTTCTCTTCTTCAGCTTGGACTGTTTTTCCGCTCATAGTTGCTAACAACGGCGCCTGTCCATGTTGCTGGAGAGCAGCGTCCTTGATGCATTTCTCCTTCGTCCTGCTGGTTCGTTCTACCTCGGCGAGGACAGTTGGCTGGCATTTCGAAAGAAGAGCGTCGGGCTATACGCTGCCGAGGGAATGAAAAAGTCAAACAGGTGTCCCTTCCATCATCCTGGTCTCTTTCCATAACAGACTCTCTTCGGACAGAGAGTTGAGAGCTAGTCCACCTCGAAAATCAAATGTCGGGAGAACGTCTTCAGCCAAGCCTTTTCCATGACATGTTAGCGGTCTCCCTGCCCCCAGCAATGGAGAAGAATTAATTCACTGGCAGCCTGAAGGGGAACAATTCAGAAAGCCCATGTCAGAAATTGGGGATATTCCAGGAAAGGCAGAGAGTTCCTGTGGTGGTTACACACCTCTGTTACAGTCACCTCCTCCTTTGCCTAAAGAAAAAGTGTGTGTGTATGTGCATAAGAAAGAACACTAGTGTGTGAGTCAGAGAGGGGTGCACCTGAGTTGTATTAACAACCACAACCGTTTCACCAAGGAGCTCTTCAGCACATGGAAGTAAGTCACCACAAATGAAGGCTGACTCCAATGTGACGTTGCTCTCCACCATGTCATTTCTCAGTCGCTCCAAGATGTTACAGAACATTAGGAATGGACCTATAATTAATATCAATGCACGGTCAGAGCTCACACGCGCGTGCACACACACCCTAAAAGCAGAAAACTACTTTCCAAAACAATTTGCTTGCTTTTCATGAGTTGGACGAGGCTAGCCGTCATCCTTCCTGGGCCCTGTGGGAGAGCCACTCATCCGTTTACAGATCCATCGTCACTTCTGGAAACAAAGTACTCCAAAACCCAGTTGGTTCCCAAAAAGAACAGGGGCGTCTTGCATGGGAATGACACGATCGTCTCGAAGGCCAAAGGTAGAGGTTGCTCAAACCGGCTTGCTTCTGAAAGAGGACGATGATGGTCAGTTTCTAAAACCCCTCTCTCTGCTTCCAAAATGTTCCTTTCTCCAAAGAGACGTGTTGGAATGAGGAGAGTCAGGAAAAAAAAGAGATCTCCCATAAGATGTGTGAGCTTTCCCCTAGGGAAACTTTTGATTGATTGATTGGATTTGATTGATTGATCAAATGTTATTACATTTATTTTCTGCATCTGTGAAATTCTGCTGCCTCGCCTGCTCCCAGGTGGTGAGGGGCTCCCCGCAATGCCTGTGACACCACAAGTTTAGGAGTCGGCTGCAAACCCCATCGACGTCCAACCTCATTTGAAATAGCCTTGCGAGAACCAAATAGCGTGATCCTGGCTTCTTCTGACTGCAAATCGTCCTCTCTCTTTCTCTCTCTCTTTTCGCTGCCCGTCTGCGGGCTCGGGAATCCCATAGCTGTACACATAACTACAGATACACACCATAAGCAAAAGGAAACAGTAGCACAAATGGGTGGAATTTTTATAACTTGGAAACATTTTTCAAATGCAGGGGCCAGATAAGAAAACCTGGGAGAGAACATCTGGTTCAGAGCCGCCAGCTGCCCCTTCCTTGATTTGCTCTCTCTGCTTGGGTTCAGATGATTGAACTAGCCCGAAAAAAAATTCAGCTTTAGTGTCCTGAAACTCTGTTTCTTGCATTCCAGTTCAAAGCATGAGCAGTTGACAGGGATGACCTACCTGGGCCTGAAATCCTGAAGATCTTGCTGGAGATCAACCAGCAAGATGAAAAGAAGAGGGAAAGATTTTGACCGAGGTGGCTCTTAGTGCATACAATTTATATGCCCCTTTTTAAAAGTTCTCCATCTGATATTATTCAAACATCACTCGGAGTTCTAGTGCATGAACGCCAGTGGAAGATCTTTGGGGGCATTTATCAGCCACATTTCTATAGATGTATTTATTTATTTTTATTTATTATTAAATTTGTATGCCACCCATCTCCCCCAACGGCGGCTCAATTTAAAATGGTGATTCCTTCCGTAAGATTTCTTTTGGATCTATTAGGCACCTATGTGTGTTTTGAGAAAGAAATGGGTGGGGACAGCTAATTCTTGGAGACGTGGTGCTCTGAAATGCAGCTTTGGGTCCGAAGGGTTTCCTTTGGAACAAAAGTTAGCTCATGTATGAAAGCTTGTCGTGGAAAACTTCCTGGTTCCAACAGCTCTGAAATTCAGGATTATAAATATTGCTTTACATCTGCAAAAAATACATAGGACACTGATGATTTCAAGGATATGGTGGTTTGGAGAATCCTCCTCTTTTGAAAAGCAAGCATTTTTATCACCGACAGTCCTGTCTGAAAGACTAACCTGAAATGAGGACTATGCATTCCAAATCGAGCATATTATCTATACATTAGTTTATATGCTTGGTTTTCTTTTCTTCCCTTTTGCTGCTGAGCAAATTACTTAAATATTAATAATTTAATTGTGTAACGTGGGATAACCGTATATGCGAACCACCTCAAGTTGGCACGGTGCAAATGCATTCAGCTACAACTTCAGCATCCCGGGCCAGTGCGGTCATCTCAGCTTGTGATAGAAATGGTCATCTAACAATATGGAAAGTGGGCAGGCATCTGGATATTTATTTTTTATACATTTATCCATGCATCAGACCAAGTCTGAAAAACACGGTCAACGATGCTTTGCTAGGACTAACTTTTCCATCCTGCCTCTCTCAAAACTTCACCAAGCCTGCAAAGGAAATGAGCTCAGCTTCCCAGATGTTCTGGCTGATAGCGACCAAGCGCCAAGACTTAAAACTATCCGAGAACCCATCTTGCTGCAAATCTGACACTCTGATATGCGCTTTTAAAAGTTGGCTTCCAGATAAGTTTCCATGTGACTGAACAAAACCTCCTGTGGGTAGCATCGTCTTCAAGGAGGCATAAGCAGTGCCCTAAAATGGACACATCAGCCCACCATATCCCAGTTGACATAACGGGATATAGTGGAGCGTGTTGGGAAGAAATGGATCCATCATCCAGGAAGGGTTAGTAACACACAGGGCACTCGATTGTCTCCAGATCTGTGGTCCCAATCCAAGGGAGATAGAAACATCTCATTTAGGGAGCAAAAACTAGGCACACCTAATTAAGTTATATTAGCTTTATTGGGGGTCTTCAAAGAAATCACCAAAAGAACAGTCCACAGTGTCAGTGCTATACACCTCCCCCTTGCACACAGACCCACACTCCCATGCACTCAAACTTGCTCCCAAATATCGCCTAACACTGCTGCAATGCAAGTGTAACCCGAGCCGCGTGATTCGAGATCCGATCTCATTTTACAGCCTGCTCTCACGTTAAAGCCAACACACACAGACCCACACGGACCCCCCCCCCCCTCAAAAATACAAAAAGGAAACCTGGAATCGAAATGACAGCCACAATCGTCTCCCTACCCTGCTTTAGTCCAACCCTAGACAGCTGTAAAGAAGCAGCTGATGTCAAACCCGCCGGGATTACCGAATTAAATAGCTTTTTTTTTTAATTCCTCCCCCTCCCCTTACCCCAATCAAACACATCTGCATATTAAATAGAATATCAGACCAGCCAACAGCAAAACTCTCCCTGTAAACTTTGCTGAATGCTGGCTGTTGAGCAGTATATATTTTTATATATTAAATTCAAGTAACAAAAGTAGACGGGGGGTTATCCGGGCCCAGCGCCCACACCGTAAAGAGCTGGATGGTAGGACGAGCAAAGGCGTGGGCTAGAATCGCCCCACCGATCAGATGAGATTGTTTTGAAGAGAAAAAGACGTTGGCATCGAACTTGTTTCTTCAAGGAATGGTGGTCTATAAGAGCAATGAATAATAAATAATAGCAACGTAACGCGTGGGGATGCTAGAGACTTCGCTGGGCAATGCTCCTGATTCTCGGTGGAGCACTCCACCCGTTCTTCACCTCTCCTCTGCCGTTCTTGCAACCATGTCTCCCAGCACATGGGCCCAAACGCAAGCTTTCTGCTGCTGCTTCTCAAACTTACTCGGAAGCAGCATTATTTTTTTAAAATAGCGACCGACAAAACGGTGGGTTTCACAGAAGGATCCGCAGAGGAGAGGGTGACCATCCCTGAGGCCAGGCAAGGCTGAGTTGGGCCCGGGGAATACCATTTGCTGTGCTGCATGCTTGACGCCCAGGAACGAGCCCCAGCCAGCTTTCACAAAGCAAATATTTCTCCACCCAAAGCACCCTTCTTTATTACATACGCCAAAAGGCAGAGGATTGGCTCACTTTCTTTAAAAAGTGTCAAGGATGTAAAAACGGGCTGTCATTCCTGTGCGTGTCTGTGTGCACACAACCACACTCATAAGGGTTGGGGAGTTTACTATATAACTCACCAAGAATATATCCATCATCCCATCCTCATATTATACCAAGTCAGAATCACCAGCAACACTGTCTCTATTGGCAAACCTTCATAACAGCTGTGCTTTTAGCTAGCAAAAATCTCCTTTTTTGTGGCGGGGAGGGGGGGCTTTTGGTTGTTTGCTTTGGGGGGGGTGTTTTTTAAATTGCACTCCAGTTGCTACAAGCCATCTCGCGTCTCCAAATCCTTAATCCTGCAAGAGACACAAATCCATTTTCTACTGCCCAGAGCGGATCCAGTCCTTCTCCCTTGCAGCTTTTAAAAGCCAGCCTTGCATTTATACCTGGGAATTATTGTTAGCAGATCGTTTTCTTCTGGTTGTTGTTGGGCTTTTTTTGGTGAATTGCAAGATCTGTAAATGGAGTACAAAAGTCTGGACTGGTTCTGACCCCACAGACAGCTGCAGCGTTTTCTTCATAATGACCAAGGGTAACAGGGTCCAAGTGATACCTCTCCGTGTTTATACACAACAGATGACTGGGTGGAAGAATTCAAGACCTTTTTCTCAGAACAGTTTTTCATAGCACCACAAGCGAAAGTGGAGGAACAGGAATGGGGCAAAGTGTCCAGAAACAGCCAGAAGATCACAGCCTTCCAGAAGTCCACCATCCAATCTTCGCATTATCTAACATAAAAGCAGAGTCGAGCTTCCTTTCTTCCCTTCTCAGTCCTCCTGCTACAACGGATTGACATCGCCCTCCTTTAGCAGTCATAGACCTCATGGTCAGAGGGTGCTCCTGGCTTCTTCGCCTCTGTGTCCCAGATGTTGTCATAACTGTAGTCCTCATGGAAGCTTTGCAACTCAGCATAGTCGTGATAGGTCAAGTCAAGCTGCTCCCGTCCTGTTTTGGGCAGGTTGTAGGCTCCAAGGCTTTCATCTAGAAGAGATGGGCCGTTAAGGTTTTGGAGGTGATGCAGCCAACCCAAATCCCTTCCCAGAAAGGTCCTCCTGAGGTCATGCTGCTTCCTTTCATTTTGATTCCCTCTTAATTGTCCAACCTTTACCCCTTCTTATACGTTGATCATGAATTCTAATCTAGAAGGTTGTCAGCCAAGACTGCATCAAAGCCCAGGTCTGCTAAAGACTCACCTGAAGTTGGCAAGGAACGCATCTGAAGGCCATCTCTCGATGAGGTGCTCTGTTTGCAAGTGGGGAAGAGAAGCGAGAAGTTGAGAGCTACAAAATGCACAGAACAGTTTTGTTTTCAGATTCCACCCCTGCCGCCTCTTAGTAACCCCATCAACGTGCTGCTCCAACCCTCCTGACTTTCCATGTTTGCTTTTGCAGAATCTAAGCAAAACGTTACTTTGAAAGAGGGACCCCACTAGTTCTTCTTTCCACGGGGGATAACCAGATCATGAATGAAGGCGCTAAGGTCACTTTTCCACCCTGTTGCAGCCAATAACATGGATTGAGAAAAACTGCCTTCATGTTTCTATAGCGGCTTTTGCATCCTCCTCCCTGCCCCCCTTTCAAATCTCCTTCTTGTAGCAATGCAAGAATCTGTGGTCCTGATTTCTAAAGCCCTCTACAAAAAGCAAGACATTTAGGGTTCTTGCACTACAGCTCTCTCACCTGGGAGGGAAATGGAGGGCAGAGTTAGCTCTAGTGAGAATTGTGACTGGTGACAAACTGGATCTGGTGCAAAAGCGTAAAACAGGGCACCTGTTCTGACCGAGACGCCCTTCAGCACTCACCGTGGTCAAATAATTGACATCTGATGAGGGTTCTGTGGCAAAATGAAAGGCAGGGGCTGAGGCGTTGCATCTCTGTGCAGGGATGGGTTCTCGCCAGTGGTTCCCACATAAAGGTTGAAAGCTCTTCCACCCGAGAGGATGATGACAAATGGGAACAGACACCGGCATGGCTGGATAGCCATTCTTGTGCTCCAGAGTGGATGGCCCATGGCACCTCTCAAGCTGTGGAGGAAGAGGAGGAGGAGGAGGAGGAAAAAAGGAGAAGGAGCAGGAGAAGGAGAAGGAGGAGAAGGAGAAGGAGAAGGAGGAGGAGAAGGAGGAGAAGGAGAAGGAGAAGGAG